AAAAACATTTACAAAACTTTAAATAATAGGGTAAAATTCATTTTACCTCCATCTAGTACTAGTATATCACCCGTGTTATGTACAGAATAAAATAATATATTATTTATTAAAAACACGGTAAATATATTTAATTTTTTTTATATTTTGTCTCTTGTAAATAAAATTATATATATAAATTTAAGGGTTTTGATTCAAAAATAATAGGGTAAAATTCATTTTACCTCCATTCAGTACTAGAATATCACCCGTATTATGTACAGAATAAAATAATATATTATTTATTAAAAACACGGTAAATATATTTAATTTTTTTATATTTTGTCTCTCGTAAATAAAATTATATATATAAATTTAAGGGTTTTGATTCAAATGTTCTTTTACTATAATATATAGTATAAATAGATTAAAATTGTTGTATTGAGAATTAATAATTAAAATTATATTTTGTTATAAAAAAAATGACATAGTTCTAATACTTCATTATTTTCGAATAAAAATATATAAATTTTAAAAAATTATCATATTGATTTTTAAAAGGGAAATAATTAAAGAAATTTTAAAAACTTACTGAGTAAGAAAGAATCATTGTAACATGTAAAACCACTAAAATCACAGTTTAACCAACAAATCATTCAAACCAAAAATGGTTTCACATAATCAATTAGTTTAAAAGACTAGCCAGCTTACACAAAAATTAATTAATTAAAACTTTTAATTTTATTAAAATTTAAACTATCACTAAATATGGAAAATAATCCATTAATTTAAGTTTAAAATTGACACAATATAAATTTAAAATTGTAGTAATCTATCTTATAATTTATAAGTTTTAAATATAAATTTAAAATTATCATAATTATCTCATAATTTTTGTATTAAGAAGCAATAAGAATAACATTGAAACATATTGAATTGAAATATGCACAACATTACAATTATCATAATTATTTAAAAATTATCATTTTTATTAATTAATTAATTATAATTATCCCATAATTAATTAATTAAAATTTTTAAAATTTAAATTATATTGAATTAAAACATGCACAACATTGCAATTTTAAATGGGATGAAAGTATAAGATTCACTTTATATGAGTAAAATAACTTCTTCTTTTTTTTCTTATTTTCTCGATGTGGGATCATCAAATAAAAGTTAGCAAATGGAGATTTTCTTAATTATTTAAAATGAAGAAAATCAAGAAAATTAATATGAGATATCAAAACTCTCACAAGGCTCATCACTAAATAGGATGTCAGTATTAGATTTACTTTATATGAATAAAATAACTCATTTTTTTTCTTCTTTTCCCAATGTGAGATTATCAAATAAAAATATAAAATCACTAAAATCGTGGTTAAACCAACTAATCAATAAAATCAAAAATGATTTTTCCTAATCGACTAGTTCATAATCAATTAATTAAACTTTTACAATTTAAATTATATTGAATTAAAACATGCACAATACTACAATATTAAATGTGATGGAAATATAAGATTCATTTTATATGAGTAAAACAATTCATTTTTTTTTTCTGATTTTTCCGATGTGAGATTATCAAATAAAAGTATAAAATCGCTAAAATCGCAATCAAACCAACTAATCAGTCAAATAAAAAATAATTTTTCCTAATTGGCTAGTTCATAATTAATTAATTAAACTTTTACAATTTAAACTGTATTGAATTGAAACATGCACAACACTACAATATTAAATGTGACGGAAATATAAGATTCATTTTATATGAGTAAAACAATTCTTTTTTTTCTGATTTTTCCCAATTGTGATTATCAAATAAAAGTTAGCCAATTGATTTGAAATTAAGAAAATCAAGGAAATTAATTTGTGATATTGAAACTCTTACAATGCTCCTCACTAAATGGGATGGGAGTATAAGATGATTTACTTTATGAGTAAAATAACTCATTTTTTTCTTTCTTTTCTTAATGTTGGATTATCAAATAAAAGTTAGCAAATTTTCTTAATTGTTTAAAATTAAGAAAATCAAGAAAATTAAAATGAGGATTTGGAGCTCCTAGAAGATTTCTCACTAAAAAGTCTATTTTTCTTATATAATATATAGATTGCTTGATAGCACTTTACTCCATATCTTTTAAAAATAACCACATACCTCCCACTGGAATAAAATGCAACCATTAACACTATTAACTACATATGTGAAATGACTATAATACCCTCAAACCTTATATTTTTTATTCTTTTCTTTTCTTTTTCATCTATCATACGCATAATTTATAATGTCTAGTATTAATTCAATCAAATCATAATTAATTATAAATTCTTAATTATTTATTGTAATTCTGAAGTTTTTAATTCTAATTTTAATTTAATTATATTTTAGATCATAATTAATTTTAAAAATATTTAACTATTTATTCTAATTACTAACTTTCTAATCTAATTTTAATTTAATTATATTTCATATCACAATTAATTCTAAATTCTTAATTATTTATTATAATTTCTAACATATTAATCTAGTTTTAATTTTATTATGTTTTAGTCTTAGAGTTTTGGGTTGTGTTGGACTTGTTGGGAATAAGTTGGTTGTGTTTTAAAACTTAGAATTTTTGCCCAGGTTTTGGTCTCTACGCTCGAGCGGCGATTTGACGCTCGAGCGGGTTTTTGTTGTTGCCTTTCCGCTCGAGCGGCAGTTGGGACGCTCGAGCGTGAATTTCCTCCTCTCAGCATTTTGGTCGTCTGCAGAAAATTCTGGGAGAGTGCATCCGGCGCTCGAGCGGATCTTTGGACGCCCGAGTGTGAACCTGTGTTTGACGCTCGAGCGGGGTGTTGTACACTCGAGCGGACCTGTTTTATATCAGTCCGTGAAATCACTTTTTTTGATCACTTTTTGATTTCCTTTCTCTCTCTTACTTTTTCAAAACCTCCATTAGAGAGCACGTCACTCTAAAACCTAACTTCTCTCTTAGGATTGATCTAGCTAGAGTGTTTTCCTCACCTTGGGCCTTTGTAAGAAGTGTGTTGATCGTCGAGGGCTTCTTTGTGATCCAAGAAATTTGGGATTTGGAGCACTTTGATTTCGGGTCACCTTCTCTATTTGAGTTCTTCATTTGAGGTAGGGATTCTCCTTGTTCTTTTTCAATACTCCGTCTATAGATAGACATGTGGTAATTTTTATATTGCATGAAAATGGTATCATGTTGGATTTGTTTGAAAATCATGAAATAAACCTAGGGTTGGTTGTGTAGAGAATGGGTTGGCTTCATTGATTGTTGTCTTGGCTAAAATAAATATAAATTAGCATGTTGTAGTTAAATGAAGAAAAAGCCCTAAATTATATTTTGATTGGGTAAATTAAAATAAGGGTTTGTTAATCATTGTGTGTAAATCTCTTTTGTCAAATGAGTGTGGTAAGGATGTTAATGCCTAAGGGATTAACCATGGCTTTGGAGTTGATTTTATGGAAACAAGATTTGTGGAGTTGGTTTTGTGATAACAAAAAGGAAATGGAATCGTTTTTGTGAAAATGAGGGAAGTGTTTTCGAAATAAGTTTGAGAATTGGATTGTTGTATCTTGAGTGTTGAACACACATGTAGAAGTTGTATCTTTAACTACCATGTTAATATTGTTGTTGGGTTTGTGATTCATGATATTTGAGTCTTTTAATAGATGTACTAACTATATGCATCTAGAGGTTTTGTCCTTGGTCATCGGTGGAGGATGACACGGTTGTGTAGAATTGTCGGGTTTGCATTATACCATTGTTATTGGAACATCGTATGTGATGAATTATTGAGATACATTATATATGTATGCTTGCTTGGGAAGAGGTAGATATGTGTTCATATACTTTAACACATTGCTGGTGTCTTGATAGTTTATGTATATGCATTATATATGTTGGTTATGCCTTGATGTGCTGTGATTGTTGGTGTCGTGCCCCGCGCTGAGAATCAAAGGTATCATACCCTTCCAGCTAGCGCCTGGAGAACTGACTGTGCTAATAATCAAGGGTACCATACCCCTCCAGCTAGCACCTGGTAAACTGGCTTGTTGTTAATGTGTTGAGTGGGGTGTATTGTTGGCTTACTACGCACATGGCTAGTAGAGTGAAATGGGATTGTTGTTGTTTCGTTGTAGCTGAAAATATCATGGATTTTGATTGGTTATAGTTCGGAGGACCGAGTTGCTCCATGGATTGATTGTATACATGTTGGTGGGTTGTAAATTTATATTTTTACAAAGGTATGCATGTATAGTTATGATAGAAATGGAAACGAACCAAAATGTCTTTTTGTCTTTTGGAAAGTGTGGAGGAGAACGTATGTTTTAAAGATAAACATGTTTGAAAAGGTACATTTGAGTATGTATAGGAAATGGAAGTGGGTATCGGGCTTAGTGAGATTACTTCCTAAGTATTTGTTAATGTTATGAAAGATTGAGAATGGGGGTTAATGAAAGGAAAAAGGGAGGATAAATCGCTTATAGCGGTGAATTAAATGATTGTTTTCAAGAAAGGTTCATATATATATTTATATATATATTTTGTATAAACTGTTACATTATTATTCTAGTACGAGAATGGGTGTTCATGATCATAGCTATCTGTAATGTTGTTATTGTTAAGGAGCATGTTGAGTTCCCTACTGGACTATATGTTCATCCCACGTTGTTGAATCTTTTTCAGGTGTTAAGCAGGTTGGGCTGCAAGATTTGGTTCTACTTATTTACTGGCCACGGGCCTCAGTTATGTTGGCGGAATGCCATTGTTGTAAAAGGGTTACACCCTTCTTCTTGTACCTTAAGTGATGTAAGCCCAAGGGCAATTTATTATGTATGTTCATGTAATATATACTTTGCATACGAATGAGAGTACTGTTAATCACTTCTACGGATTGAATGTATGAGTTTATTTTTCGTATGTTATCCCTGAAATTGAATTAAGTTAATGAATTTGGTAATGACTTCGAGTAATAAAAAGTGGGGCGTGACACTTGTTCCATCTGCATATCAAATGGCCAGATCCAATTAAAGTCTTTTGCTGAAGAAATGCAAGCTGTGAGTAAAGGTCTTGAAAAGGTTGAGCAAGAACTCACTGCTTCAGAGAATGATGGTGCCATCTCTGCAGGCTTCCAAAAGGTAGGAGACATACTTGGGACACTAGGTTACTCTTTCCTTTTTATTGTATTTATTTATTTATTTTTTTCCAGATTTATGTTGGATCTTCATAGATGTACATTATTCTAGTTTCATGACAAAACTGGTGTATGTTTGTTGGCGGTGATGCTGAGATATAAGATAAAGGGGATTTTCCAATACTGAAATTTTAATCTTAGTGGAAAATTCAGCAGTAAATTTGGTTTTATTTCACTGAGGAATATTAGCCATGCTGACATTAAGTTGATGATGGTGCGGTAATCGATTAGAATAATTGAAAAGTGGACTTGGCAGAAATTTTCTAGTGGAACTTTTAGTTGAGGTTGGGAGAGTGTGGTACAGAGGCTCGGTCCCTGTTATCAAAGTAAAAAATCACTTTTAAACAATTACTAAAAAGCCTAAAAGTCAAAAAGTTGTTTGGCATAACCTTGTTTGGCATGTGCTTGTTTTAGCCTAAAAGTCAAAAAATTACTAAAAAAATCAAAAAGCCTATAATCTATATAAAAAAGTCAAAGATTTCCTTTTCTCTCTACTTTTTGCACATCTTTTTGTAAAAAATCAAAAAGTCATTCCAAACATACTAGTTTTTTTTTGCCTCATATTTTAGCTAAAAAGTCAAAAAGTCACTAAAATAGCTTGTTCCCAAATGAGGCATTGACAATGAAATCATATCCATATGGCTCGCACAAGAATCTTAACAGCATCATTTGTTCGTATGTTTTAGATTCCTGTCATGTGAGCTTGTGTTTTCTGGTTATGAAATTTTGTAGTTTTTTCCTTGAAACTATTATGGTCTCTGTTATCTATCGCTTCTCCTTGATTTCAAATGCCGAGTCTTTAAATTGCATAGGAGTAGAATTACAAAAAGAAAAAAAAAATGTTTGTTTTTAATGCAAAGTTAAGAATCAGTACTCGACCTTTCAGGCCTTGAAGAATTTCCTTGATACTGCTGAAGCTGAAGTAAGGTCACTTATCTCCTTGTACTCTGAAGTGGTGAGCCTTCGTTTTTTTCTTTAGTTAAAATCTGCAAGTTCTTGCTTAGTTAAGTTTACTGACACATTTATCTTGCAGGGAAGAAGTGCAGATTCATTGTCTCAGTATTTTGGGGAGGATCCAGCTAGGTGCCCTTTTGAACAAGGTTTGGTTTTATTTATGTACTTAATTTTCTGTTGCTGTCAAGTAGGGAAGTTCACTACATTTCTTTTGATCTGCCACAAGGATTATGTTAGAGATGTATCTGTATGTAGGTTTAGATTAGATGATGGAAGTGAAAATGCTAACATAGTTCATTGCATAAGTCTAGCTAACTTGGTAAGAGCCAAATTTCATTGAAATATTTCTACGAGTGTTACCAAAAAATGCTAATACCTTAGAGATTTAGGTTTTGGAACGTATTATCGAAGTGCCTTACTTGCCAGCAAGTGAAGGTTGAGCATCAGAGGCCAGCGGGTTTGTTGCAACCCTTGCCTATTACCGAGTGAAAGTGAGAGCATATCACTATGGACTTCGTTGTAGGTCTTCCGAGGACTCAGCGGGGTAGTGATGCCATTTGGGTGGTTGTAGACCGGTTGACTAAGTCGGCGCACTTCATTCCTATGCACGTGAGAGATTCGATAGACCATCTCGCCGACTTGTATGTTCGGGATATAGTGAGACTGCACGGGGTCCCAGTGACGATCGTCTCAGATAGAGATCCTCGTTTTACTGCTAGGTTGTGGCAGAGTTTGCAGAGTGCCTTGGGCACTAAGTTGACCTTTAGTACGGCTTATTATCTGCAGACTGACGGGCAGTCTGAGCGTACTATTCAGATCCTTGAGGATATGCTTCGGGGTTGTGTCCTTGACTTTAGTGGGACGTGGGAGAGGCGCTTACCATTGGTGGAGTTTGCCTACAACAACAGCTTTCAGTCTAGTATCGGTATTGCACCGTTTGAGGCCTTGTATGGCCGGCCGTGTAGGTCTCCAGTTTGTTGGGCCGAGGTGGGTGACGCACCTTTGTTGGGTCCGGAGTTGGTTAGAGAGACGACGGAGAAAGTTGAACTTATTCGTAGGCGGCTGGTTACAGCCCAGAGTCGTCAGAAATCTTATGCCGACCGTAGGACGAGGCCTTTGGCGTTTGAGGTAGGTGATCATGTTTTCTTGAAAATATCACCTAGGCGAGGTTTGATGAGGTTCGGGAAGAGTGGAAAGTTATCCCCTCGGTTTATTGGGCCTTTTGAGATCCTTGAGAGGATTGGCGAGGTTGCTTATCGTTTGGCTTTGCCGCCGCAGTTGTCCGGAGTGCATGACGTCTTTCATGTTAGTATGCTTCGGAAGTACGAGCCGGATCCATCGCATGTGTTAGATTGGACCGACTTAGAGGTAGATGAAGATGCCTCGTATGAGGAGAGACCAGTTCGGGTCTTGGATAAACGGGGTCAAGTCCTGCGTGGCAAGACCATCCCTTTAGTGAAGGGTTTGTGGAAATATCACGGAATGGAGGAGGCCACTTGGGAACGTGAGTTGGAGGTCCGCGAGAAATATCCGGATATGTTTATTGATGTGTAATCTTGTATTTAGACTTTGTAGTATTGTTAGACTTAAGAGCTTTATATATGTCTTAAGTTGTAAAACATTGGTAGTGTTTTGGTTTAATGGAAGTATGTTGTAGAACTTACCTTGATATGGGAAGTTGATTATGATATTGCATATGTTGGCTATATTGTAGAATTGGAATTGTATCATGCATATTGATAATGATATGAACTGTGAACCATGCATGTTGAAAATGGTTGGAAATGGAAGGAAATTGCATGATAATAATGCACTTATAATATACATTGTGAAATACCTCTTGAAAGGGGATGGAATTGACCGGTGATGGGTCGAAATGATTTGCATGTAAAAATTTAACTATTTATATTATTTTGTATACAAAAATATTATTAATTTTTTTACGTGCCGTGCATAACACGTGTTACTACTAGTATAATTAATTCAAAATGTACTACAACTATTTATACAAAATTAATTACTGTTTAACAAAAATGTTAGAGCATATAGCGATCCCGGGTTTACCCTTGTTGTACAGTGATCCGGACATGTGTCCGTGGATGATAGTAGTTGATTATTACCTGGTGTACATCCTTTCTTACTTTGTATTTGAGTTATAGGATGTGTTGGGCAGGTTTGTTACAGGTTGGTTGAGATTAGAAACCAAAACTAGTTGCCTAGATTTTGACCTGTCCGCTCGAGCGGGGGTTTTGGCGCTCGAGCGGGAGTTTCACCCATCCAGTATTTCCTGTGCAGTGTTCGACGCTCGAGTGTGGGATTGGCCGCTCGAGCGGGATTGTGTGAGTGCCGCTCGAACGGGGAGTTGGAAGCTTGAGCGGGAGACCTGTCTGCAAAAGTGCTGGGAGTGAGCATCCGGAGCTCGAGCGGGGGATTGGCCGCTCGAGCGGGAGTCTGTGAGTGCCGCTCGAGCGGGGAGTTTGACGCTCGAGCGGGGCGACTCTTATTTAAAAGCGAGATTCGACTTTTGTATCACTTTTTCAAGATCTTTTCTCTCTCTTACTTTTCCAAAAAGCAATTTTCAGAGCTTCTCACTCTAAGACCGGCCCTTCTCTCTTAGATTTGATCTAGTAGGAGTTGTTTGCTCACTTTTGGTCGTTACGAAAGTTGTGTTGATCGTCGAGGGCTACATTTTAATCTGAAAATTTCAGAATTTGAAGCATTTTGGTTTTGGTCTTCATATCCATTGGAGCTCAAACTATGAGGTAGGGATATCCTACTCCTCTCTATGAGTTTTGTCTTTAAATTTTAGATTCTCAGGGCTGAGAATCAAGTTTAGGCCCAGGTAACTGAAGCAGGGTCAATTTTTCTAAAAAGAGAGTTCTTTTGGTCGAATCCAGAGGAGTTTTTGGGTGATCCCAAGGAGCCACTGAAGGTTGATGAGTGACTAGAACAAATAGTGAAGACGTTTGAGATGCTCAGCATCGAAGACGGAGGTTTAAGAGTGACCTTGGCATCCTTCCAACTGAAGGGAGATGCGGGTCAATGGTGGAAGTACGAGAAGGCTCGTGTTGGTGGTACTTGGGAGGCATTTGTAAA